GATTGCCTGACCACAAACATCGTATCGGTGGTATCCACCACCACCACAAACGAGAGCGGGGGGTTTAAGTCACTGTCGGATTGGTCTGTAGAGGGACCCTCCATCTTGGTCCTGCTACTGCTCTTACTACTGCAAAGGCGGGTGCACATGCTTGTATGAGTATGCGTGTCAGTATGCTGCCGGGGTAGGTCATCCTCTACTCAGAAGTATCATATAATTAAAATCTCTATTACGTGCACCCTTGTCTACACCCTCTACTGAGTACCTATGCAACTAGGGTACCCGCCCCTATTAAGGAGTGTTTGGTGGTGTAAAGGTTTCGAGAGGAGATACTGCTGGGGCAGCAGGCACAGTAGGACGAGACGAGGGGACCAGAATCGTCAGTGTGTTGATGTATGATACTTAAAAATAGCTACGAATTTTTATATGTATAGTAGGATACTCACTACAATTACGCCAAACCTATGCCAGAAAAGTTCGTACCCGTTGTGTTTCTGCAGGTAGCGACTCTTGACCTCCGTGGCCACTTTGGTCGACACTTTTCCCCAAAAGGATGTGGGATGGGACCGGTCCCTATCGTGCAATTCCATGGACATGCCGGCCTGTAGCGAGGAACGTCGTAGGTTGTGGTTATCAGAGCGAGTTTTTAGGTCCGACCAAAAGCCCAAATCCTAAACCCAAACTAAAATGAGGTGCCCATCCTTCAAGCACTTGTGATATAAGTTAAGCCACTATCCGTCCCCACCCCTGAAGGCTGGCTGAGACCATCTAAATATCTTAATAAATGGATTTAACCTTTTGGCTGAGCATCTAAATCTCTAATAAATGGATTTAGCCTTTTGGGACAAAAGTGGACCATGGAGCGGTGCCGTTGATAGACGATGTATGACTTTTCTCTTTTGACAATGCGTGACATGTGTGTCAATGTAAGGCTTGCTAGAGATCTATACGCGATACACAGATCTAAAAACATTTATATAGAAACGACATAGGTCCTGTTTCTCTGTGACAAATGCGTTAACTAATGCGATGGCCGGGATACGCATGGATTAGTACCAGCTTATACGCGAATCAAGCGTCTGATGGGCACGGTCTTCTCGTACCCAAGGCCCGGTAGGGTATAACACTATCCCTGTATGGATATGTTAACGCACACGCATGGATATGTACATGTGCAAAGTTATACTTCTCTGTAAGTCGGCATCCTAATCAAATACGTGTTTGCGTACTCATGTGTACCTATAACCTCTCTGCAAGCTAACATGCGATACCACCCGCCAGTCGACACACACCTTCACAGTAATTCCCAGCGCTCCTCCGATATCCTTGCCTCCCATGTACGCGCGACTGTCCGAAGACTGGGACAGTAAGAACGCGCCGACGTTCTGTTGGGCGAGAGAGTGGGCCGTGAAGGTGCAGGGAATGTAAGCTTTTTAACAAATCCACGAATACGCGTACGTGGGCAGTATGATATAAGATATGTGTGGATGTGTTCAAATATAAACAGCTATGTCTTTCATGTGGAAAAATCTGTAGAGTATGTGCGCTACAAAGGGATAGGAAGAATGTGATCACAAATATGAATGTATACATAAACATGATAAGTATGATATTTGAAAATGTGCGACACCCTGAAGATGCTGAACGATGGGAGTATACGAGAGTTACGAATATGGAAACACTCCCATGTGGATATATAGTTATATACCATCAGAAACATTATGTGTAGATATGCACATGGCAATTGTGTGCACAAAGACATCCATGCATATATGCAGTATATATGTACCAACCGATAAATTAGTTATATATATATATATATATATATAACAAACACACACACACACACACACACA